AGCTAGTTTTAGAAAATACACTTTTCCCAAAAGGTTTCCACAATTTTGGCCACTACTGTAGAGGAATCTTATGTGTGCTTATTCTGTAATAAAACCCATTCTTTATGATGAATTCTATTCCCAGATGACATATTCATCTGAAAAATGTCTAACTTTTTTTATTTCACTTTTAAAATGAAAGAGTCATGTCGAAAGTATAGTAAGGCAAGAGATCTTTGTTTTTATTTCTTTTCCTTTCTTTTTGCAAAAGATCATCTAAAATTTTTCTTCGGTAAAGATTAGTGCAGATATGACTGTTGCCTCAGAACCAATATTTTAATTTTTTTTGAAGTAAAATTCTGAATACGTACATGCACACACACACACTTATACAGAGTCCTATAGCTGTAGCTTCAGATGGATTTGCCAATACTTTGTAATCCAGAAAAAATAATGTTACAATGGACATTAGATCTAATATACTTTGCAAAGAAGTTTTAATTAGATTGGCTGAAAGCAGTGAACCTGGTCCAACCTGTGCCAACACAGCAGGGTGCAGAGAAACTTTCAGAATAATGATTTCCCATCATTTCTTTTATATAGACCGTCACATTATTAATGAAAGCTGTTGCAAGCCATTATATAAGCAGACATTTTAGCAAACTCTGCCGCTGATGGAAGTCAAACATAAACACCATAGGGCACTAACATAGCTGTTTCTTACTATTTATAAGAGCAGATTTCACTTAAAGACACAGAAAAATAGTTTCGGTTCAGAGAGAGTTGCATTTCATGAACATACATATAAATATAAAGCCAATTATCGTCTGAATAATAATATTCAGTAACATTGAATATGACATATAAAAGGAAATGTTATTATTACCATTATTGCAATATCTCCCTCCATCCTCCCGCCCGACACCATATGATGCATTGCAGGAACCTGGCTGACCCCTGGTCTACTGTTGTTCCAGATAGTGACATGTACTGGACATTTGCAGATGGAAAGTCCAAAGTAATTTGCATAGTGCTGAACAAGTTCTTGCTAGATTTGGTGCAGTTTCCCCAGCTGCCTTTATTATACCCAAAACCTTGCTATTGACTTCTGTAGCAACATTAGATTTAGCAAGTTGTGTGGATCCTAACAGTGAAGGGAAATGCGGCAGAAAATCCATGTAGTTGTAGCTTGTTCAGATTATGGAGGAGCATCAGATGTATTTTTTTAAATACATCTGTGGTGTTGTTAGGAATTGTGCTTATATTTTAACATGTCCACAGGGTGAGTCATGGTAAAGATGTCATTTGAAATGTCATATAAACAATAAGCGTAAGCATGAATAAATGCAAGTAAAATGAAACATCAGGAAATTTGATCCAGGTTTTAATACTGGATGTTAGTAGTACACCATTTTTAAATAGACTCAAGGACTGGCAACGGCTTGAACAAAATCAGGTCCATTTCTAAAAATGTAGGATATAGTTTTAACAATGTAAGATTGATGCATTAACATTGCTATATTAATTTCAAACCATTTGAAAAAAAAATATTTTTTTTCCTTTCCTTTTTCTTTGGAGGCCTTCAGCTTCTGGCATTAAGGAATTCAGCGATGAACAGTGCAAACTTTCAGGAAGGGCAGGGTAAAAATACAATTTACCATGTAGGATAAAACAAAAGACTAAGGTTATTTTTAGGGAAGCAATTTCCTGTACATTCGGCATATGTTATTTTGCTTGCATATGGAACTTACTTCGAGCCAGCAAATTAAAATGCATTTTATCATAAATAGAGTGGTTGTATGTTCCTTTCCATTTTCACATAATAAATCTGTAAAACAAAGATGCTGAAGGAAGAAAAAAATGTCTTTCTTCCTCATGTTTTAAAAATAGAGTACAAGATGTACAACCTTTGAAATGTTCTTCTTTGTGTGTGCCTCTTAGCGGTATATTTCAATAAAATGTTATAACAATAAATAATTATAAGCCAATATTGTCATTAATATGCCGTATGTTTTGGATTTTAATGGACTAGATCAACATTCTTATATTATTGGTAGGTGGAAGGAAATTATAATTAATATAAATAAAATGGGAAAATGGGGTAAGAGTTTTCATATCATCCCAAAATTACTTCATTGGTTGAATTCTTGAATTAAGAAAGCAAACTATTCTATTCTTCTATTAAGAAATAGAAAACTGGTAGTTACCATATTAATTATGACAAGAACAGAAACTCTTTTTAAGCAAGAAAAGAAATGTTCATCAATTGATCAATGTTTAAAATTAATAGGGAACTTATATATTTTTTAGATACAATTGAGAGAAATGGGACTTCAATGTTGTACAATATAAGCTTCCCATTGCACCACCAGAAGAAAATGTTGATGAGCACTCATGTGCCTTGTGGAATAGCATGGGAAGTGATGTAGGAGTCAGTTTAAAGGGGCAGATTGGTCAAAGTAGCATCAGCCAGATAGCAACAGCACTTAGCTTTATATACCGCTCCATAGTGCTTTACAGCCCTCTCTAAGTGGTTTACAGAGTTAGCCTATTGCCTCCAACAATCTGGGTCCTCATTTTATCAACCTTGGAAGGATGGAAGGCTGAGTCAACCTTGAGCCGGTCAGGATTGAACTCCTGGCAGTGGGCAGTCAGTCTGCAATACTGCATTCTAATCACTGCACTACCATGGCCACCACACCACACTGATGTTTCTTTAAATCTTAATGGTGAAAATGAATATAGAATTCTTGAGAAATGAACATTTCTCCTTCAGGCAGGGAAAAGAGAAATGTATCAGGAAATATTCTGAATTGTGTACAGGCCATTTACTATTTCTTAAATAATGTTTTTAAACTTTCCCTTGAAATCAATTATTTGATTTCTTCCATAGGTGGGAATGGGATATTGACAGTGCTGTATCATTTGACAGAAACCTGGACAATAGCTTGAAAATATCTATCTTTAACTATCTTTGATAGGGAGCCCCCCAGAGTTGGCTGAAAGATGGGCAGCCATGTAACTGTTTTAAATCAAAATAAGTAAATCAAAATAAATTATCCAACGCAGAGCAACTGAGAGATTTTTAGGATTTTTTTCAAGACACTCAAGAGTTCCTTTGCAAAAGACTGGCATGCAAATGGAATTTATAAATATGCCAAACTCTACATTTGACTAGCTATGACATAGATGTGAATTGATTTTTGGACTGGTTTCAGGGCTAATGTTCAAGACCATCCACTGAAACCTTCTAGCTATTTGTAGTGAGACACCATCCACTGTTTGGGGAATCTGCCATTTTATCTTTACTTGGCAAGTGATCAGGCCTTGGCTGAAATTGGATGCGTTTCCCTTTCTTCACCTTTGAATGTGGCCAAGAGATTTTTTTTTAAAAAAAGTCTTCAGCTGTTTCTAGGAAGACTGTTATCAATTTCCTTTAGAAAAATATCATCCATTGTTTTATTTCTTTAATGCATTGTTATTATTTGCTGCAGTAGGAACATTCAATGCCAACTGACAAGAATGCATATACATTTTTATGGTATATGAGCATGGCATTAGATGACAAAATCATTACTTTTTTGAACCACACTGACAATATCAGCACTGATTGTGCACCAGATCCTTCTGCCAGGCAGAAGAATCTGGGAAACCCCTTTGTAAATTCCCTGTAATGCTCTGGAGCATGTATGGGCTATATACAGTCATAAACTATGTATGATCCTCCTAAGCTTTCCCTTGGGCTTGTTGTAGATGGGGAAAAGTCAAAAAGTATGCTACGTACAAGAAATATGATTCTGCCTAAATAAATAATTAAACTCTGACCACACCAAATATTCACCCGTTCTTCCATTATGATAGTAGGCAGAAAGCAAACACCTAACTGTGATTCAAAATTGTAAATTGAATTGGTGTCTGATATTTTTGCTGTCCTCCCTATTCTTCTTGAAATGTGGACTTCCTATACTGAATGCTGGTATATATAATCTCAGAAGTACATTCATATCCTCAAATGATACTAATTTTTGTAACACCACATTAACAAACTGACAGTTATCTAAACAAAACAGAACATTAATAAAATAAGCCCATTATGTGTATATAAGCATTTCCTCATCCATTTTATCCTTCCAGCATAATGGAATTGAAGACCAGCCCTTTTGTAACATTCTCTGAGAATCCAGTAAACAGGAGAAAAAAAATTGAGTTAATTTTATCTTAAAATCATAAGAAATACTTGACTTAAAAACAAAAAGACTTTCCTGATTTACTAATACAGAATATTCTAACTCATTATTCAAAAGTTCTTGCAAATAACTAATATCCAGTTGAATGATAATCTTTAACTCTTTATAGAAGAATATCCTAGGTTTAGGAATTGTTAAAGCATATGCCAATACCAAAAATTGAGGAGTTTTACACAATATATTTGGTGCAAATTGCAACATCAACATTTTAGGCAATCTAGATACTCTAAATGTCCAATGATGAAAGTAAAAATTATAAAATTCAAAGAGAAGCCCCTATCATCATATGATAATCATAAGTGAAAGAAAACTAGGGATACTACAGATTCATCCTCTAAATAATGCTTAGTATTTTATGAAATTGAAAGTATTAGCATTGGTATACCTCTAATTAAATATAAGAATCTTCAAATAATATTTGCTAGTATTGTATTTATGCTTCCTTAAAACCTCACTGGAGCTCAAATAAAGAATCTTAGTTTGAGATAATTATTCCCAAAAATTCAAATGACCAATATTTGTACAACTTTGCATAAAACATTAGAATGCATAAGAAGTAGACAGAATTTATTGCAATTGACAATCTGATGTTACTGAACTCCCACCAGATCCTCCCATGATTCCCATTCCACCAGGCCAAAAACCTCTTCCTCACTTACCGTTTGAAGAACTCCGATGCCTTCCAGAGTGCTGGAAGAGATTGCTTTATTGCATGGCCATGTGGTATGATTCTGCAAATGGCAGTGTTCTTTACAACTGCTGGAAATAAGGTGGCCACTTCTGGAATGGTGCCTTGCACCCAAGGGGCAAAGAGACCCTACTATCTGCTCTGCCAACATGGTCTGCACAAACCCTTAGGAAACCTTCAGGCCCCTGCTGCCTTAATGTAATTTACACAGTGCTGCAAAAGCTTTCTGCACCTTTCAGAAGTTTTCTACAGCACTGTGCAACTTTGTTTAGGTAAGAAAATGGAGCTGTTTGTCTGGTGGGACAAAACGACTGATGCATCTGTGTTGCTACCACATTGCCTGTCCTTCGTTTGCAACAGGAAATCTGGAAATCTTCAAAAGGTAAGTGTGTGATGAGTGGCAGGTGTGTTGGGAGCAGGCTCAAACCCTAACCCAGCAGGACAGAATGGAGGGGGGGAAGAAGGGGGGGCACAGTCCCTGTGGTTGATTGTAAGGGTGAATGGCCATGGGGGCACTGCAGCAGCCATAACTTAGAAACAGAGTTCCATGTCATTTTGGAGGACTCTATCATAACTTTGAATGGCTTTTCAGTGGCCAGTTATATTTCAAGGACTACCTATATAGGTTTCAGTATAGAGGCTGAAAAAGGCATAATTATGACTTCTCATAATATAGTGGCACAAAAATATTTTATAGCATTCTATAAAACAACTACCTGAGATAGCCACTTTTTCCGTTTTCATGAATGTAATTGTATTTCTTGAAAAGCTAAACAGACAACTAAATAATGTGCAATCTAAGAAATATCTATATTATGTAAAAATGCATTAATTTCTTTCTCTATTACAATTGACTCAGTATATAATGTTGAAAGTTGATTTATAGAGCCTGAATCATTTTATATTTTACTCCAGATGTTCCTAATAATAGTAATTTTAAATGGTTGCAATTGTTTCAGCCAAGAGGATAATAATCTGCCAGGCATTTTATCTCATTCTCAATATGTTTGCATTGTACAACTCAATAATTATTCTGTTTCAGGTGTTTGAAAGGAATTAAGCTCTCATAAGCTTTAGCACTTGTAAAAAGCTTTATCTAATTCTAGTGCAGGTCATTTTGCATATTCATCCAAAAATTCTTTAATTCTTTTTGCCAGATTTTTTTCTTTCTCTTTTTATATGAAGCATAAGCATTAACATTATAGGTAGGCATCAAAGGCATCCTGAATAACCAATACATTTGCATAATGTCTACTTATACAGGAAAAAAAATATCCATTAAGATTTATCTCTATGGCAAGAAAAGAAATTTATACCTTTGCATCCTTATGTGCTGAAATAGGAAACTCTTTAGATGCACATGCAAACATTTGCATAACATGGTGTTTATGTATATGTTAACCATGTATAGATCAATCTGCCTCCCCAAAATGCATCAATCCAGCTGAAGGCTTTACAGAGATTGATGGCTCTGCCTTAAGAAAAGATGAGCTGGTAAACAACTTTCCTCAGTGAGACATTCTGTTGCCTTGCTATCCAGCGACTTTCTACTACCCAGAGTGAAAAGCTGTTTTACTCCATGGCTTTGCTTCAAGTTGGAACTTTGGTTTTTAAGCTTTCAACAAAGCACCCTTCCAAAATATTTACAATCCCAGTTGCATATGCAGCCCCTGGCCTCTTTCACATTAAAATTTAAAATGATGGCTCCCCATGGCATTCAAGTATACGTAACATTACCTACTGCCTTGGTGGGGGGGAGTAGATATTGGAGATCAGTGATGGCACCCTCCTGGCTGTTCCTCCTGGGATTCCAAACTGTTCTTTTCTTTAAAAAGAGCCTCTCCCTAAAAGAGGCTATTGCCTTCAGAAAGCTGACGGTGTAGAGAGCAATCCAACCATCAGCAATCACATGCTTACATGCAGCCAACTGGAGGCTGCATGTAAGAAGGAAAAGGCACCATCTTGTTCATCACTTTAGATAGTGATGAAAATTATCTTGTGCTGGTCAAATATAATAATATGCAGGAATAACCTTGGGAGGCAGGAAGGAGAGCCACAGACTAGGCAACCATCAGGAAAGAAGCAGTTGAGACCACAGAAGGAATGGAGGTGGCTGAATCTATAGAAGGAGTGAGGGCATGGCAAATCTCTCAGAAGGGACCCTTCCTTGTTTTTTGGACTATAAAGCAGGGGTGAAATTCAGCAGGTTCTGACAGGTTCTGGAGAACCGGTAGCGGAAATTTTGAGCAGTTTGGAGAACCAGCAAATACTACCTCTGGCTGGCCCCAGGAGTGGGGAGGGAATGGGGATTTTGCAGTATCCTTCTCCTGGAGTGGGGTGGGAAGTATCCTTCCCCTGCCACACCCACCAAATCACACCACGCCCACCAAACCACACTCACAGAACCAGTAGTAAAAACATTTGAATTTCACCACTGCTATAAAGGTGACGGGGGGGAGCGATATACCTCCAGACTTGCAAGATTTTGTTAATGTAACCATAGACTACAGTTAGAGTTAGTACTTCTGGATGTGCTTCTTCTCTGAACTGCCTTACAGGTCTGACACCGTCTCTCTGTCTACAAGGAGAGCTACTTTAGCCCTTTGCTGAGGGTCCTTCTGCCACATAGCCAGTCTAAAGCAACACCCTTTTCTTCTGTTGCGCCGAATTGCTTAGGCAACACTCTTGTATTACAAGTCCTGAAACTCCTAGGCAAGCAGTACCCTGATAGACAGGAATGAAAGGCATGCAGACTTGTCTCTAGAAGGTATCAGCCAAATAATATTCATCTCAAAAGCCGAGTTGCCATCGCTGAGGTGAAATGGTGATATGTTGGAGGCATTGCTGCTGACATTGCACACAACTAATGAATGACAGTGCCAAAATGCCAGCATTTACCTTGTCACCACCAAAGAGTTACAATTAAATTGCCCCTTAAAAAAACTGACAAGTGATGAAAGAGGTTTTGATGAAGGTCATGAGTATCCAGGATTCCTATTCCCTTTGAGCACGGCTGTAATTTCTGATTTCCCACAGATGAAATGGCAAGACAAACACATATTCGAGAAGGTTTCCAAAAGAAATACTAGATTACAGAGACAGATTTTAGCATCAAAAGTGTAGCATCAAGGCATGTAGTATTGCATATGAGATAGGAATGTTGCTCCAACTATTCTTTCCTGTATTTTCAAAGCTTTCCTTCACCTGTTTATATCTCTACAGATACATACTTACTTACCTTGGATTTCTGAAAATTGGAAATGAGCTGGGTGTTTCTTTGTTAGGAAAAAAGACAGTTGCCAAACCTTTCAGGAATGTATGCAATTCTTTAACAAAGGCTCTCAAAGGAAAAGGAAATTGATTACTAAAATATTTTTCTTAACATATAAGGTTTGAAAGGTATAAATTGTTCTGGCACACTAAACAATTCTGCTTCCAGATTCCTTATGTAGTCTGATAACAGGCTTCTTACATAAACAAAGTTAACACAGTACACAGTACAGTATAAAAAAAATACATTTAGGCTTTGCACTCTACCTTTAGAACCATTCAAATAGAAGTATCGTTACCAAAGCATGACATGTCATAATACTAGCATTTTTGGAAGAAAATCTTTGTGGGATTCTTTCAGGCAACAATCAGATGAGCTACTTATTTATTCATTCAGTTTGAGAAATTCCTTGTTTTTCTGGGTTTACTATCTTTTTTTGAGATATTAGATAGCAAAGCACTTAGACATATATACCGCTTCACAGTGCTTTACAGCCCACTCTAAGCGGTTTACAGAGTGAGTATATTGCTCCCAATAATCTGGGTTCTCATTTTACCGACCTTGGAAGGATGGAAGGCTGAGTTAGCCTTGAGCCTGGTTAGATTCGAACTGCCAAATTATAGGCATCTGGCAGTAAGCTGAAGTAGTATGCAGTACTGCATTCTAACCACTGCACCACCACGGCTCAGTAATACTCCCAAAAAGATTATTTCTAAATCTCTAGTGTTTCTAAATGTAATTTCAGTTTCATTTCCAGGATGTGTGTTTTGTTTTTTTTTGTTTTTTTTTAGGAAGTGTGCCTTCTAGTTTCTGTTGACTTCTGGCAACTACTGCCACAACCATTATTGCAACCGCTACAGTTTTCTTGGGAAGATTTTGGAAGTGGTTTGCCTCCTCAGGGCTAAGAGTGACTTGCCCAAGATCACCCAGTTGGATTTGTGTCTCAAGAGGGACTAGAACTCAGTCTCCCAGTTTCAATCTTGAGGACTTATCCACTATAACAAACTGGCTCTCCAACCTAATTATGTATTCACCTGAATAAGAGGAGAGATAAAATGTTGATGTGTATAGTTACATACATATTGATATCCTGATTTGGTTGAAATGTTGGATTAAAAAAAAATAAACTTTGTGCAATCAAAATTTAAAACATAAACATGAGCCAGCAGTGTGTGGCAGCAGCCAAAAAAGCTAGTACAGTCCTTGGTTGTATAAATGGAGGCATAGAATCAAAATCACGTGAAGTATTACTACTGCTTTATAAATCCTTAGTAAGACCACACCTGAAATATTGCATCCAGTTTTGGTTACCACATTACAAAAAAGATGTTGAGACTTTGGAAAAAAGTGCAAAGAAGAGCAGCTAAGATGCCTAGAGACAAAAACATATGAAGAACGGTTGCAGGAATTGGCTATGGGTAGTCTAGAGAAAAGAAGGTGTCAAATTTGTGTCATCACAGCATCATCATGTGATGTATCACAACTTCCCCCCCTTTGCTAAACCGGGTGTGGTCTTAGTCAGCATGTGACACATCCAGCCCCAAGTTTGACACCCTGGACCAGAGTAACATGATAGCAGTATTCCAATATTTGGTGACTGCCACAAAGAAGAGGAGGTCAACTTATTTTCTAAATCATCAGAAGGCAAGACAAGAAACAATGGATGGAAGCTAATCAAGAAGAGAAGCAACCTGGAATTAAGGAGAAACTTCTTAACAATGAGGACAATTAACCAGTAGAACAGCTTGCCTTCAGAAACTGTAGATGCTTCATCACTGGAGGTTTTTAAGAAAAGACTGGACAGTCACCTGTCTGAAATGGTGTAGGGTCTCCTGCTTGAGCAGGGGGTTAGACTAGAAGACCTCCAAAGTCCCTTCCAGTTCTATTCTGATTGAAATATCAAATAGCTGGAGGCTATTTGCTCACTTTTTCTTCTTGTGCCATATCTATCAAAAAGACTTAAAAGGTGTTGAGAGGGAAAACCATTTTGAATCAAACCCAGAATACATGGATATGGGATATATTCGCAATGGGCTTGGAATGGAAGGAGGACTACATTGCAATAAAAATATCATCAAGATGGTTGCCTTATACTTCAAAGCAGAAGTATA